CCCCAAAACCCCAAAACCCCAAAACCCCAAAACCCCTTTGGCTATATATTTTATTGAATAATCAATATGTACGGACGGAAAGCACAGATTGAGAAAAATAAAGATCCTAAGGAAAAGGAAGAGACAAAAGAGATGGTTGATGAGATACAATTGACTCGACTAGAGAGTCATATCAAGTATAGTGGAGATTTCTTCATGAATAATGCCAAGTTCTTCTTAATAAATTTTGAGAAGATGCTTGTTGTATCCGAATGCAACAGGATTAATGTGATGACATCCAGAGAGTTAGCCATAATTGACGTAAGTTATTCCTCCTAACAACCAACTCCTATTGTTACTATCTCAGAAATAGCAATCCTAGTCCTTTGGTCTAAATTCTGATACTTCTCTAATTGATGAACAAATCTGAATCTTTTATATAGATTTTGACAGGGCACACTCACCCAATAAAATGACTTGATATTTCCCCATTCACTAAAGATATTATAAGTTTTTCGAAGAATAAGATTATTCTCCACAGGATTCATGAGATGCCGGAAAACCCACATTTCTTCAAAGATCAGCAACTACTGACATCTGCTCTAAGGTATGATTCCTCGTAAACTCTTTAGATGGGATGCAGTCTGGGACCTAGATCTCTTCTTGCCCATAAACGCTCTCAAGTTCTCTGCTGTCGGCGATTTCTTCGTGGCAACAGGGAATGAAGTGTTTAATTTGTGGAGAAAAGACGCTTCAACACCATTCTTCAGCTCAGAGGTCTTCTTCTCAGTGAATAAAGACTTAGCAATTCCTAGTAAATAAGACAGAGTTCTTATCTGCGAACCAACTGGGCAGAATCATGCAGTGTGAAATCTCCATTGAAGGAAGACTGATCATCACTCTTGAGGAGGGACATAATAAACTTAAAATCTGGTATAATGACTATAAAAAAGAGGTTGAAGATGACGTAGACGAAGGTATCAGCAGTCCTGTTAAGAATCCTTTGAGCCCTTTCCAAGTACTTTTTGGTCCTAATTTATAGCCCATGGGAGATGAGAAGGAAAGCCCTACTCATAAGCAGCAGATTAAGAACAAGAAGAAGAAAAATATTAAGAAGGGTGAATTCCAGTTCAAATCACTCAAAGATTTGGATGAATTTGTGGATAATGAGGAAGAGAGCGAGGATAGCATAGGTACAGAAGAGCCACTAGAGTTGGAATATTACCTCTTGCTTAGCCATAAATCCAAGATTACTAACTTCAAAATCCTCATGCCTGACCTTTATGAAGGATTCAAGCATGCAATTCCGACTGTTATAGCGACAATCACAGAGAAGGGATGGATATTCCTGTGGTACGAAAACTTGATGGACCAGAATATTTCCTTTATGTGTGCACATGTATTCAAACCGAATCATAATGACATTATAAATGATATATGTTTCCTGGAGTACCCTGTGATGCACCCAGAGAGATACCACGAGTTGAAGGAGAAACACTCTTACATTTTTAATCCTGAGAAGAACAAGATTGCTCAAATCAAATAAATCGCATAATAACCTGGGAGTCTATCAGAACAGCTTCGAAGAGACTACATATGACTGGATTTATTTGCTTAAGGATAAAAAGTTGGAGATTTACAGGGCAGAGGGGCTGAGAAATTTCCCAATAAAACATATCAATGTCACTCTGAAGTCAGAGATCAGCATGAAGCTGAAGATGACTCCTCGTCTTCACCAGCCACACAAGCTCTTTAGCATCAGCATCAGGGATTTTAATGACAAGATTTCCTTCTATGGGATTAACAAGAGTTTACAGTTGGTGAAATACAGGAAAGATCTTCACCAGAAAGCTTCAAGATCCGAATGGCATTTCCGAAACGTATTGATTGCAAAGAGGGACTATATTACTGATGTACAGATTCATCGAGACTACCCTCTCTTGGTCAACAAGAAGATCACTAACGAGCTTTGGTTCTATTTCGAAGAACAGGTAAGTTTTCTCTTGACAAATTTAGACTGTCAGAGATATTGTGAAATACAACAACTTAAAATTTATTGGGCAATATAATCACGATAAGGAGATAAAACAGCTTTGTTTTATTGATAAAATCCCAGGAGTGATCTTGTTGAACCAAAATAACTCTATCACAATTGTGTGTTGTGATACCTTCCTGAAAGTGCTAGGGAGCCATCAATTTTCCAAAGAGTTTTTGGATATTTGGGATACAAAGAAGAATAATGCTTATGAAAAATGGGTCCTCGTTGATGAGTATTCTCTCATTGAAGATATTACCGATGTGACAGTGCATTCAATCCAGATTTTATCCACTGTAGGTTTTAATTTATAACTCTTTAGCACTTTGAGCAGTCAGAAGCCACTATTAAGATCATGATTTTCTTTGAGAAGTTCTATTCAATTATGGACATCAAAATCCTGATTTCTTCATTTAATAAGTTTACTATCACTATTATCGTAGGCAGTTCTATTTAACTCCATAGCCGTTAGGAAAGAAGAAGATCGGGTTCGATATTCAAAAGTAAGCTGACTTTCTTCCAGTAGTAATCCTTCTAGGGTTCACGTTACCAGCAAGACAGAGGCAGGCAAATATCATCTTTTGGTCAGTAAGAGACAGAGAAAACCAACCCTGTCCCTTATCAAGGTTGAAATAGACGAAAACGAGAAAAATGATATGCTTACTGAGCTATGGACCTCCCAGGCTCTTGCCACTACTGACTTCCGTGTCAAGATCGGATTGGAGCTCCTTGGTATCTTTGACAACACCCAAAATGTGCTATATATCTATGATCTCATTGAGGAGAATTATTCAGGGTTCATTGACCTCAAGAAGGTCATACCTGACATGAACAGTCACAGTTCATTTTACTATGATGAATTCGTAAGCGATGTCATGTTTAGTAAGAACCATGCCAAAGGCTCTCTTGTGCTGTATTATAACGACTCGATTTACTTGTTCTCCCAGATAAATGTGGAGACTCTTGACTTCTCCCAAGAAGAGACCTGGACTCTTATTCATAAATTTGACAATGTGCTCGAGCTAAATGAGATTAAGAGCGTGAAAATCTGAGAAAGCTACTACGGGAAAATTATTTTCATCATCAATAATAAGTATTTTCTTAGTAAGACACGGTTCTTGACTGAAATGGAACCTGATGCAATGGAAAATGAGATCTCAAGCTTCTCCCATGATAACAAAAGAAAGGTGACCTTTGAGGGTTTGTTCACTATTTTCCAGCAATCCAAACCTATCTATCACCCTCAGCTGTTGAGACAGTTCTTTATGAAGGGCCATATGAACCTGATTTTGAAGATTTTAGTCAAGCTGAATGACCTTCTGAACTCTGAAAGCAAGAAGTATAAGATTCCAAGCTTTTGTGAAATCCCACTTGACTTGATTGTCAAGGAATTAACCCTTGAAGCCACAGATGTTGCTCCTAAAGTCGAAAAGCCAAAACAAGGAGACACTGCTGCAAGTCTTTTCGATGACTTATTCTCATGGAACAATGATGAGCAGCAGAAGTCTAAGCCTCTCTTCGCGAAGAAGGACAAAGCTGACCAGAAAAAGAAGGATCCCAATGCAAAGTTGACGATTGATGAGGAGTTTGAGATGGTAATTTTTCCTTCTAATTTCTAGATTCAGGACGATTTAGTGAAGATAATTGAGAATCCCAAGATAGCAAAGGTAAACCTCTCAGACAAGTCTGTGAAAGACCTGGTCAGATTCATTAAAGTCTTTGCAAAGATTTACAAAACTGAATATGATTCTGATAAGCTGACTTACTCCTTACTCAGAAAATTTGAATATGATAAACAAGAGACCATCATTATAGAGAAAGAGAAGGGCCAGGAAGAAGATTTTGGTGCTGGAAAGACAGTCGCAGACCGTATTATGGCTAACCTACGTGCTGAGGAGAGTGGAGAAAACCTTAAGCCTTGGACTACCATGCAAATAGCCTTTGCTTTCCATTCTAAAGACCAAGATGTTATTTACAATCAGATAAAGAATGACAATCTTGATTGGGAGACTATGAAGAAATTGAGCGTTCCGATCTGGCTGAAGAACACTGAGAAATTAAAGAATTTGCTTGAAATTGTAGCAAAGAAGGTCTACAGAGACGCAGGAAATGATGTAGGTGTCAAATCCAGAGCTCAGGCAACAGCCCTTTATTATATTATGGCTGGAAAGAAGAACATGCTGGTGAACCTTTACAGAACTGAACCAGCCAACAAGAGAGTTTATGACTTGCTTTCAAATGATTTCTCCTTGCCTAAGTTCCAAAAGAAGGCTGACAAGAATGCAATGGCATTAATCTCAAAGAAGAATTACGAACTGGGAATTGCCTTCTTTATCCTGGCTAATAAAATTAAAGATGCTGTTACAATGGCACTTAATAAGCTGAATGATCTGAACCTGGCCATCTGAATCACAAGGCTTATTGACGGATACGAATCAGAGAGATGCTTCGAGCTCATCGATGAATACCTCATCAAAATTGGCAAGGAGGTTGAAGACCCCTGGCTAGTCAGCATCGGATACTGGTGGAAAAAGGAATACATAGACTCTATTAACAATATCAGTGGAATGATTGAGGAGAACAAAGCTCGGCTCGCACAGAAAGTGTTTGATAAAAGTCCTATTTTTGATCTTTACCAGGACAAGAAAGATCCAAATGAAAAGAAGGAAGAAGAAAAAGAGACTAAAAAGTAAATATATGCCCCTAAATTTTAGAAAACCAAACGAGAAATCAAGGTTTGAGTACCCTATTGTGGCAGGGAGGAATGCCTTCGTGCTAGATTACCTCCAGCACCTCATGGATCATCACATCATCAAAAGGGAACTGAAGAAAGCTGAATTTCAAGAAAGCAGTTCAGAGGAAGAAGAAGGTGATATTTTTAATGACTTCTTTGGAGGCGGCGGTGCCTCTAAACAGAAAGAAGAGAAAAAGAAGGAGGATATTAAGACTATCCAGGTTGATAAAGAAGCCTTACTGAGTATTATAAGTGACTCCTATGCTGATACTGGGTATGGAATTTTAGGCCTAATTCTTGCCTATGAGAACAAAGATATTCAAATGAAGAAATACTCAGCAAATAACTTATCCAGACATATTATCATCGAAGTGGTAAAAGGTACACAGGCTGATAATGACGATTCTATTAAGAGAGTCTCTCAGGCTATTTCTGAGCTATCAAGCAGATTCGGGATTAATAAGGAAGAGTACTATATATTTGTCAGAAATCAGTACAGATTCTTGGAAAATCTACGGCTAGAATTCAGGTTTATCCAGACAGACAAAGACTCCTCAACCCTCTTGTTTAGGCTGGAGGATGAACTACTGAAGTCTATTAACTTCATAAATGTGATGACTTCGTACCCATTCTGCATCGATCTTGAGAAGAGCACAGAGTCTGTGTCGAGTATTCTGTCACTGATCGAATATCTCGAAGGGATTGTGAAATGCATGTTCATTTATGAAAACGAAGTCGATGAAGACGCTGAGCCAGATCCTTTCGATGAGCCTGGAGACTCACTCGAGGAGAGCAAAGAGGGACAAAAAGATTTCAATGACAAGAGAAAACCTAGCTCAACTGTTTTCATTCGTAAGGAAGGTAACGGGAAACTTTCTACAAATTCTAAGAAAGATGGGAATTTTAAAGTTAGATCCACAATTTCGAAGAAAAAGCCTGGAAATCAAGTGCAGAATGAGGATAGTCAGTACATGGCAGAGCTATGCTGAAAGCTAAGAACTTCGTTCCTTCTACATGTGGCTATGATCCTGCTATCATTTCTGATCAAGAAGTTTGAGTACATCCGTCCTCTCCTGTTCGACTTGAGAAAGCTGATGAATTATACAAACGATAAGGCGATTGGCAAAGAAGTGTCCGGCAATGAGAAGGATAACTCTATCTACAACCTTCAGTCATTGGCGAATATCCAGATCTATTTAAAGAATCTTAAGGATATCTCCCAAAACATGCTTGTCAAGTCCAGCGGCAAGTTCACTAAGGAAGATGTCCTGAATCCTGAATACTCCGATGAGGAAGATGCTAATGACCCCTATCTTAAAGATTTCAGGAAGAAAGAAGAAGAGAAAAAGGATGAAGAGAAGAAAGATGATAAGAAAAAGCCAGTTGATGACAATAAGCGCAAGATGAAGCAGTTCTTGATCCTCTGGTTCAGGCAGATTGTTATTTACAATACGTACTATGTTCTGCATCTGTCAATGGCCAATCATAATATGACATCCATTTTGGATGTAAAACCTTCGATCGTGAAAGCAACGAACATAAAGTACGCTCTGATGTCGCTGATGAACCCAAGATTGCAGTCATACCAGCAGGTTAATAATTTCAAGTCAATGAAGCGGATTCTTGATAATATTGTGACATATTTCTTCCAGAACTTCTTGTCAGTCCATCAGAGGTACCTCATAGCTGAAGATTTGAAAGAGATTATCTCTAACCAGAACAAGATAGCTATCTGAAATAACATAAAAATTGAGAACTTCTTCGATAGCAGTGAAGAATTTAAGAAATTTTATGCCTTCATGGATATGCCATACTACATCTCAAACTTGAATGTGCTTGAGCTCAGCTTGAGAAAGCATACTAATAAGGACTACACTCCTACGACTTTGAATATTGTTGATCGGACTTTTAAGAATGGAATCCATGTTTTCAAACAGCAAGGAGCCCACATCACCCAACTGTGTTTTGACAATTGCGAGAATGACATCTGCGCTTTTACTATGAGAGAGGAAGGAATTCGGGAGATCAAGCTCCTCCAGAGCCTTAGTTACAGGAACAGAGATTCTCAAGGAAGAGAGCCGCTTGATGCTGAGATGGAAAATTGGAGCAAATGCCTGCACCGATACGACAAGTTCCCTAAAGAAGACCTTTATTCCTCACCTCATGATATGATCAATGGGGTCATTTCGAGTATGTATAAAGAGAGAACTTTAAATTATTCCAGGAATAAGAGAATAAATAGGCATGGGATCCACCATAGTTTAGGAACAACTTCTAGGCTCTTAATCACAGATTTTGAGAGCAAACCTCCACAAGTTTGGAACGGAAGAGAATCAAACGAGTATTTAAAGATTGGGCCATCAAAGAAGAGCACCTCGCATTTTGATTACAGTACTTGCATCACGTCTCATCCAAAGCTGCCGTTATTTGTCACTGGAAACAACAAAGGAAAATTATGCGTTTGGTCTTTCAACAATCTAGCTGATTCTGCTGTGGGGAGTGAGTTTTACACATACCATCAGAAAAACAATAGTCCTAGCAAGAAATTAACTATTGATAAGTGCTTGTTCAGTAATTATGGAGATAAGCTAGCTGCCCTTAATACTGATGGAACCTTCTTCATGTTCAATTTTGATATGCAACCGACAAGTATATACCCATTTACAAGGATTAAGAGCGAACGAGATTTCAAGATTTTGGATTTTGATTTCATCAATAGAGATACCGTGATCTCAGCTGTGTCGAAGAAGTCCCATGGGATGGTGATTTATGACCTATTGATGCCAACTAATAGAAACGTGATTCATCAGACAGACAAGCTAGGTGGAAGCCATGTGTGCACATTGTATAGGCCTCAACAAATACTCACCTTTAATTCATTTGACAAAGGCATGCTTAGCATCTTTGATCTAAGAAAACAAGAAGTTATGGATACTATCCAAATTGACACTGAGGAGACTACAGCTATTGGACTCACAAGAGACCAACAGACCTTAATCACCGGATCTAAGGATGGAACTGTAAAAATATGGGACATCCACGACCATTTGAAGCTGAGAGAATCTATTGAGGCATTCTATGACCCAGAGACCAGAAGAAAACATGAAGTGTCTTGTGTGGTTGAGCATCCTGGAAGCCAAGCGATCTTTGCTTCTTCATACAACGGAGCTATCAAATTGCTAAGAATCTAGGGCTGGAGTATATTAAAGAATTATTCCAATTGGCATATCTAAGTCTGGGGTTTTGGGGTTTTGGGGTTTTGGGGTTTTGGGGTTTTGGGG